CGCGGCAGCGCGCACAGCACCAGGAGCGCGCCCAGCACCGCCCGTACCCGCGGCCCCATCGCCCGCTGCGCCCGGGCCCGTCCCGCTCCGTCCCGCTCCGTGCGCGGCGCCGCCGCCGCCGCCGCCGCCCCGGGGCCGCCCCTCCCACACCCGGTCTGACCCCCTCCAACCCCCCCCAACACCCCACGGTGGGGCGGGGCCCATCGGGAGCGCGCAAAGGGGGGGAAACCCCTGGGAAGTTTTAAAGGGACAGGGGGGAACTGCGGGAAGACACGGGGGGGGGGGAAGGGGGATGGGATATGGGATAAGGGGGGGGGTGTGTGGGGACACCCCCGTGAGGTTCCATGGGGACGTGGGGTGCGGGAGGACACCCCTGGGGGCTCATAGCGGGGGCAGAGGGGCAGCAATGGGAGCTCCCACCCATGGGACATGGGGACACGGTGGGGGACAGCGCTGGGAGCCTGCACATGGGGTGCAGGGGGGGGGGGGTGAATGGGGGCACCTATGGGAGACGGGCGTGCACGTGCGCGGGGACACGGGGTGCCATAGGGGCACCCCTGGGAACGGGGACCCCGCTGGGGAAGTCCCCTGGGGACAAGGGGGTGCGTGGGGACACCTTGGGGCAGCGCCAGGAACTGCGGTGGGGACACGGGGGGGGGACGGGACCCCAGTGAGCCCATGGGAGCAGGCAGCCCCAGAGCACATGGGGCAGGGCGGGGGGGGTATAGGGGGAACGGGGGGGTTATAGGGGTGGGGGTGCAGGGTGGGTTCGTGGATGGGTGCTGGGTGTAGGAGGGGTGCTGGGTGCATGGATGGGTGCTGGGTGCAGGATGGGTGCACGATGAGTGCAGGATGGGTGCATGATGAGTGCAGGAGGGTGCTGGGCGCAGGATGGGTGCATGGATGGGTGCTGGGTGCAGGATGGGTGTAGGGTGCAGGATGGGTGCACGATGAGTGCAGGAGGGTGCTGGGCGCATGGATGGGTGCAGGATGAATGCAGGAGGGTGCTGGGCGCAGGATGGGTGCATGGATGGGTGCTGGGTGCAGGATGGGTGCAGGATGAATGCAGGAGGGTGCTGGGTGCAGGATGTATGCAGGAGGGGTGCTGGGTGCAGGATGGGTGCAGGAGGGTGCTGGGTGCAGGATGGATGCATGGATGAGTGCTGGGTGCAGGATGAGAACAGGATGGTGCAGGAGGGTGTGGGTGCAGAACGGATGCATGGATGGGTGCATGGATGGGTGCTGGGTGCAGGATGGGTGCATGGAGGGGTGCATCCCTGGATGGATGTTGGATGGATGGATGGATGGATGGATGGATGGATGGATGGATGGATGGAGGGATGGGTGACAGATGGGTGGGTGTCCTCACACCATGATCTGCACTGACAGCCCCAAGGCCAGCTGCAATGTGAGTGCCACTGGTGAGGGGGTCAGAACACACTGGGACCCCCTATGGCCCTGTCCCCCATCCATACCCTGGGGTGACTTGTGGAGGGGGTCCCTCAGCTGCAGGGGGCACAGCTCAGTGCTCAGTGTCACTGGTGGTGTCTCAGTGCGGGGCTGCAGCATGGTCCCAAACCCAAGTGTTCACTGCGGGTCCACTTTTGGGGCTGCACCACTGAGGGGGGACTGGGGAGATGGGACACCGTGATGGCAGGGTGCTGGGGTGCCAGGGCCCTGGGGTCTTGGGGTACCATGGCACTGACACGCTGGTGTGCTGTGGTGCCAGGATGCTGGTGTTCCAGGGTGCTAAAGGTACCGGGGTGCCGATACACCAAGGTGCTGGTGTACCAGGGTGATGGGTGCCATAATGCTGGGATGCTGGGAAAATGGGATGCCGTGATGTCAGGGCACTGGTGTACTTGGGCCCATGGTAGTGGGGTACCACAGTTCTGGCATGGCAGGATGCTGGGGTGCCGGGGTACCGGGGTGCCATGGTACCGCAGTGCCATGGTGCCAGGGGCCTGACTTACCATGGTGCTGATGTGCCAGGGCACTGGGTGCCATAGTGCCGGGGTGTTGGGTTGCCATGGTGCTGGGTACCAGGATGCCAGGCCACTAGGGTACCACAGTACCATGGTGCTGGGGTATCGGGGTGCTGGCCCCCCGCCATAACATGAGCCAGCCCCAAGCGTGGTGGTGATGGTGACCCCATGGCCCTGGCACATGCATGTCCCTGTGCTCCCTGGGGCAGGATGGGTGCCAGCAGATGGCACTGGCAGAGCAGGCACAGGGAGCACCCGGAGATGCTCTGACACCATGGGGATGGGCACCCAGAGACACCCAGACGCCACGGGGATGGCACCCAAGGACACGCCCCAGTGTCACGGGGATGGGCACCCAAGGCCACCCAGATACCACGGGGATGGGCACCCAGACACACCCAGGTGCCACAAGGACAGGCACCCAGAGGTGCCCAGACAGTACGTGGATGGCACCCGGACACCGTGCCACAGTGATGGGCACCCAGAAACACGCAGGCACCATAGGGACTGGGCCCTGAAGCCATGGGGATGGGCACCCTGAGACACCCAAGTACCACGGGGACGGGCGCCCCGAGGTGCCCTGAAGCCACGGGGATGGGCACCGTGACACCAAAGGGGCTGGCACCCCAATGCACTTTAATGCTGCAGAGACGGGCGCCCAGTGCCAACCCTGTCCCCCCCCCCGGGGCTGAGCCCCCTGAGGCGCCCCGAGGCCACGGGGATGGTCCCCTCCGGGCGCCTCATGGCCGTCACCGTCGCTTCGCAACCGCCACCACCGGTGCGTGTCCGGGGAACAAAGAGCCCTTTCACCGGTGACCCCGGGACCCCCAGCACCCCCGGGATGGGGGCTCTGGATCCAACCTCCCCCCCCCCCCCCGCAATTCCCATTGGGATCCGGGTGGAAAATTCCTGTTGTTCCGTTTTATTGGCCCCGGTGCCGGGGACCTTTGGTCTCGCCGCGGTGTCCCGGCGGCAGCGCCCAGCACACGCCGGCCCTTTGCTCGGTGCAGGGCTGGCGGAGGCCGCCCCAACTCGTGACACCCTTGCACAAGTGGGTGCTGCCTGACAGAGGCCCTGGGCGGTGGTGTGGGTGCTGGGAGCGTGATGTGGGTGCTGGGAGGCTGGTGTGGGTGCTACGAGCAGGGTATGGGTGCCATGAGCATGGTATGGGTGCTGTGAGCCCGGATGGATGTTGCAGGCATGGTATGGCTGCTGGGAGTCTGCTATAGGTGCTATAAGCCTGTCAAGGGCACTATGTAGATGGTATGGGTGCTGCGAGGGCAATACGGGTGGTACAAGCCTGTCATGGGTGCTATATAGATGGTATGGGTGCTGCGAGGGTGATATGGGTGGTACAAGCCTGTCATGGGTGCTATGTAGATGGTATGGGTGCTGCGAGGGTGATACAGGTGGTACAAGCCTGTCATGGGTGCTATATAGATGGTATGGGTGCTGCGAGGGTGATATGGGCGCTACAAGCTTGGTATGGGTGCTATATAGATGGTATGGGTGCTGCGAGGGTGATACGGGTGGTACAAGCCTGTCATGGGTGCTATATAGATGGTATGGGTGCTGTGAGGGTGATACGGGTGGTACAAGCCTGTCATGGGTGCTACGTAGATGGTATGGGTGCTGCGAGGGCGATAAGGGTGGTACAAGCCTGTCATGGGTGCTATATAGATGGTATGGGTGCTGCGAGGGTGATATGGGCGCTACAAGCTTGGTATGGGTGCTATTGGTAGGTCATGGGTGTCACACATACAGCATGGCTGCTACAAGCCTGGCATGGGTGCTATGAGGCTGGCGTGGGTGCTGCGAGCTTGGCATGGGCAGTGCGAGCCTGGCGTGGGTGCTGCGGGTGTGGAATGGGTGCTGCGAGCCTGGCAGGGGTGGTGCGAGCCTGCTAAGGGTGCTCCAAGGCTGGCAAAGATGCTGTGGGTGTGGAATGGGTGCAGTGAGCCTGCTATGGGTGCTGTGAGCGTGGTGTGGGTGCTGTCAGCCTGCTATGGGTGCAGTGAGCATGGTGCAGGTGCAGTGAGCATGGTGCGGGTGCTGTCAGCCTGCTATGGGTGCAGTGAGCATGGTGCGGGTGCAGTGAGCATGGTGCGGGTGCTGTGAGCATGGTGTGGGTGCTCTCAGCCTATGGGTGCTGTCAGCCTGCTATGGGTACTGTGAGCCTGCTAAGGGTGCTGTGAGCATGGTGTGGGTGCTGTCAGCCTGCTATGGGTACTGTGAGCACGTTGTGGGTGCTATGAGCACGGCACAGCACCCCTCCGGATGCTGCTCCTTCTCTGGGGGTGCCAGTCCCCTCCGAAACCCCATGTCCACACCTGTATCCATGCCCATCTCCATCTCCATGTCTGCCCATGTCCATGCCTGTATCCATGCCCATGTCCGTGCCCATCTCCATCTCCATGTCTGCCCGTGTCCGTGCCCGTGTCCATGTCCTCTGGCCGGACCCACCCCCGCGTGACTCAGCCGCCGGAGCTTTTCCTTATATAACACCGGGATCCCGGTGAGCGCCGCTCCCGCCCCGGCCTCAGTTTCCCTTCGGCAGCGCCGCAGCCATGTGGATGGTGTCACTGCCGGTCGGTAAGTGCCACCGCGACGCCCCGGGATCCCCATCCCCACCCAATCCCCACTTTTGGGGGTTCAGCAGCAAATGAGGGGTCGTCGCTCGAGCACTGCCCTGGGGATTGGGGCAGAAAAGGTAAAAATCAAGGAAAGAGCCCCAAAAGTGAGTTAATTCTGCACCGGTGATCCCTCGGTCCTGGAGGGGTGAGACTGCACAACCCCAGTATCGCACCCGGTGTCACCCGGGATGAGCCAAACCTGCCTGTTTTCACCCTAGAAACAGGGAGAAAAGGCTCTGGTGGAAGTGTGGGGCAGAGGATGACACACAAACATCCCCCCCAACCCCCCCCGCCCTCCAGCCTTGCTTTTGGGGCTAAACCAGCCCAAACGAGCCAATGATGGGTGCCACGGCAATGCCCGGCCACGGTGATGCTTACCGGTAACTCCGCACCGAGAACAATCCTGCTCGGGACAGGGGAGCAGAGGGATAGTGACAGCGAGCCCCAAAGCCACCACGTTTTGTCCCTTTTTCACCTCTGGCCACCCAAAAGCCACCCGAATAACCCCAACCACGGGGGAAAACAGGGGCAGACGGTGCCAGGGTCGGGTTTGGAGCTGCAGATCCCACCGGAGCCGGAGAAAGCCGAGGCTGTGATGCCGGGAAGGGAGATTTTCCATCCCCAGCCGCCCGGCTCTGCCCGTACCGGCAGCTCGGGTGCGGTGTCCAAAGGTCACCAGCGGCACACAGAGCCACCAGCCCCAGCAGCATTCCCAAAACTGGGAATTCCTTACAACAAAGGGTTTGTTTGAAGGGTTTGCAGGGGGGGTTGGGGTTGTTTTGGGGGGGGGGGGGGGGGGGGGTGGTTTGACCACCAGGGAGCTGGTTTTGGCGGCGTTTTGGTGATGCTCAGGTCCCGGCTCTGCCGGGAGCGGGTACAGGGAGGGCTGAGGGGATGGGGGTGGCTTTTGTGTTGCTCTGACGTCCTGTTTTCTTTCAGATGAAGGATCTCACCAGCTTTGGGAGCACGGCAAAGGCAGGGGGCAAAGCCCGCTAGTAGGACATGACCCTTAAACTCTGTCTCTAAAGCTTAGCCTATAGGTATATAAGATCCATAGAGCTTAAACCCGGGGTTGGCGTTTAGTCTAAGCTGGGGTTTGGCTTCGTGTTGATCCATCCTGTTCAGTCCTGTGCTTGTTTTAACTCATTGACCTGGTTTTCTTCTCGCCGCCGGCGCGAGGCAGGGCTTTGCCAAAACCCCACCTCGGGCTTGTTAAAGAGCTTTGGGGGCTCTGCTTGGAGGAGGGGAGCAGCCAGCACCCCCCAAAACCTCTTCTCCAGCCCCTTCCCAAGCGCTGGAAGGGGTTGGGGGGCACCAAGCTGGTATATCGCGGTGGGGGGTGCTCCGATGAGTCCCCGCTTGGAAGTGGCGCCGGCCTGGCCGTCACCGCCGCCTCGGGGCCTCGCAGGTGTTTTCCAGTCCACCAAGAAGCTGTTCCTGAGCGAGCGGACGGGACGGGATCGGAGCCGGGCGCTGGAATTCATCCGGAGGAACGCTGCCAACGGGCTCTCGGTGGCCAACCTGGTGGCCGGGCTCTCCTCCATCCTCTGCAGCCTCAACAGGTAGCAGGGTGTGGGGGGGAAAGGAGGTGACAAAGGGGGTGACGAGAGGGGGGTGACACCGGTCCTGCCCTCCCCAGGCAGCACCACCACTCCTGCTGGCTCTTGCTTGTGGGGTTCCTCCTGGATCTGGCTGACGGTGCTGTCGCCCGGCGGCTCAACGCCTGCTCGGCACTGGGTGAGTCGGTCCCACCACAACGGGAAGCCATCGTGGGGGTGCCCCCCCCCCGTGTCGTCCCTCCTCCCCTTTGCCCCATGGCAGCTCCCTGCTCGCTGCCTGCAGGTGCCAAGCTGGATGATTTTGCCGATTTCACCACGTTTGGGCTGGCCACGGGGCTGCTGCTGCAGCCGCAGGGGGTGCTGAGCGGGGTGCTGGCCCTCGCCTATGTGCTGGCCGTGTTCGCCCGCCTCTGCTTCTTATCCAGCGGTAAGATGAGGGTTTTTTTTGGGGGAAAGGGGCATTAAGGAAGGGTTTGGGGGTGATTCCTCCTCCTGGCTCAATGTGTGGCACCCGGCAGGGATCCCCTTCACCTACCGGGGGCTGCCCTGTCCCTACGCATCCTCGCTGCTGGCGAGCACCTTCCTGCTGTCTGGGGGCAACGCTGCCCTGCTGTGGGTCACCACTGGCATCATGATCCTCTTCATGCTGGACCAGGGCTGCTACCCCCATGACAAGGTGCTGGAGTCCCAGCTCTGGAAGAAAGTGGTTTATGCTGGAGGTAAGGATGGGGTGGAAGCACGGAGAGGGGTTAAACCCCGCTGGGATGGAGGAGGAGGAGGAGGAGGAAAGGGCTGATCCCAACGGCTCTTCCCAACCCGCAGGGGTGGCTGCTGTCCTCTTCTCGCCAGCCACGGTGGCTTCCATCTATTGCCTCGCCTGGTCCATGTCCTACATCGTGTTCCCCTTTGCCATCTGGAGCTGCAAAGTCCAACCCCTGCCTAACGCCTACTAAAGCCTTCCTCCACCTCCTCCTCCACTAGCATCTCCCTTCATTCCTCTACATATCCCACCCTGTTTAGAAAAGGGAAGAACCGGAGCTGTAGGAACAACTCTGCCCCAAGCACACCCCACGTGCCCCACTCCTCATATGGGGGACAAAGGAACCCCCATCACCCACTCCAGAGACCCCCAAACCCCTTCCCTGTGCGGGGGAACATCAAATTTAGGAATCACTCCCACCGTGTGCTGTTAATGAATCACAAGGGGGGGGGATTTACACCTCCAAATCCGAGGAGACTCTTCCCTGGAGGGGAGGAAGCCACTGGCTAAATGCCCAGAGGGATTTTGACACCCAAGTCACCAGCAGCACGTTGGGGTTTATGGTTTTACCCATCAAACGTGTTTGATCCCCCCCTTCAGTGTGAGGTGGGATTGGGACGGAGGGAAGCGAGGTTTAGATCCACGGATCCAAACCCTCTGGAAAGCTGGAGGAGGAGGATGGAAGCAAAGCTCAACCCGGGATCCCCGGGGAGGCTCCAACAGCTGGATCCAGCCCCATGTCCTGATCCCAGCACCGGGAGCTCGAGCCGGTGCCTGCAGCTGTGCTGGCACTCGGCCCCGCTCCGGCGCTTCCCATTCCCATTCCCATTCCCAGGGGCACCGGAGCCACACGGGACCAGCACAGGGTTTATTTAGAAAAAAACCCCAAACCAAGGGGCTCTTTGCTAATAAATAACGTGGGGCCGGAGGGGGCCGGGGGCTCACTCGCCCGACGCCTGCATCTGCCTGCAGAAGGAGTCGAACTGCTGCTGCTCCAGCTCCGTCATCACCCGGTTCAGGGCATAGATCTGTGGGAAGAGGGGAGGAAAGATGATAAAAGGGGGGGACAAAGGGCAGACAAGAGGGGGGGATAAGAGGGGGACAAGGGGGAAAAAGGGGGAACAAATGGGGGGGACAAGGAGGGGAAAAAGGGGGGACAAAGAGGGGGACAAGGGGGGAAAAGGGGAGACAAAGAGGGGGACAAGGGGGGAAAGTGGGGGCACAAAGGGGGGACAAGGGGATGAAAAGGGGGGGAAGCAGGGGACAAGGGGGGGACGGGGGGGGAAGGGGGGGACAAAGAGCGGGACAAGGGGGAAAAAGGGGGGGCAAAAGGGGGGAACAAGGGGGGCAAAGTGGGAGAAAAGGAGGGGTCAGAGGGGAGAAGGGGGGAAAAAGGGGAGACAAAGAGGGGGACAAGGGGGGGACAGGCAGAGGGGGGGCCACAAGGGGTACATGAGGGGGGGTCGGTGCCCACCTCCGCCCGCTGCCGCTGCTTGAGCTCCTGCTGCGCCGCCCTCTGCCGGGCCCTCTCCAGCCGCGCCGCCGGCTCCCGCGGCTTCGGCCGCTCCTTGCGCCCGCCCGCGCCCGCCTCCATGGCTGGAGGTGTGAGGGGAAGGGGATGGGGTCACCACCGAGCCCCCCCCACACCGCTCCTTACCCCCACGGCAGCCCCATGGGCCCCACAGCACCGCCCCTCCAACACCAGGTACCAGTCACACAGACCGAGACCCACACGCTCCTACGGCACCACACACGTCCCCATCGCCCCACAGACCCTATAGGCCCCACAGCCCCCTATAGGCCCCACAGAGCCCCGCAGCCCCTATAGGCCCCGCAGCCCCTATAGGCCCCACAGCCCCTACAGGCCCCGCAGCCCCTACGGCCCCCTATAAGCCCCACAACCCC